TTACAACATTTTAGTTAGCTGCTCCCTATAAAGAAACTATAAAACTTCTTAAGTTCTAGTTTGCAAATATGATTAATATCCCCAAACTTTCTGAGTAGCTTAACCAATAGTGTAATTAAGTTTAACTTAGTCAACAGAATTTACACCCCACTCTCATTGCCTCAGGTGGTATTTTGAAACTATGGGCTATTTCGTACTACCCCAGCTAGATTAAGCATGGACCTCTGTGGCAGAGAATGGGGGAAAAAATACCTTCTCTGAAAAACACAGAAGCCCACAGCTGCTCCACAAGAGAGTCTTTTTCACTCCCTGTGGGTACTCAGCACTGCCAGTTTGCATAGCCCAACTTGGATCTGTCAGGCAGAGACGGAGAAAACCCTACCTCTCCCCTGCCCCTCAGACATTAATTAAGCTCAGACAGAACCCTTCTATTCATTTTTATTTGACAAAAGTTAACTGTGTAGGATATATTTGTAAGTCACATATTCATAACCCAAATAGCCAACATCCATAACCTATGACTCAGTGAATTCAGTGAAGAACTTCGGATGATAATGAGTCACTCCTTTTCTGCCCATCAAAATATGACCCTTTCTCAGGGTAAGGCTGCAAGTACTGTGCCATGACTGCAGCTACTACCAGTGGCTATTAATAATATTATTGTTCAGCTTGTGTACAATACATATGTCCCTGTACTGCTGTAGGTCTGTGGGAGTTGATACAACTAATGGTGACCAGCCCACAAAGCCTACAAGACCTAGAGTACCAATATTCCATTTTGGTCTGATTTCTGACAAATAAATAAATAAAAAGGACTTTTCAAATTTTATTTTTGAAGTGATTCTAGCAAGTTTTTTTCTGGTGCAAAAGTCACAAAGCAACTAACACCAAGGAGTAGTAAGTACAGATAAAGGTCTGTTAACTACAACCCAGCTGCATGGAAAATAGGTAACTGGCTGCAATTAAGGTAATGAGTCAAATCCTACCCTGACTTTCCAGGTGTGGCTAGTGGGTGTAGGCTTGGCGTTTTGCTGGTGCTCTTCTACTCTGTGGCAAAAGTCAAAAATCAGTAAGCAGCTATGACACTTGTAAAATACAATCCACCTTCTTTGTGTTTGACTCTTGTTGTGAGGAAATGTTTCAGTAAAGTTGTGTGTCTATGACTTTTGCATACCATACTATATTCTTTTTAGTGTTAATGCTTTGCTGGAGAAATGAGTTTTCATTTCCAGCTTGTGTTGTAGGGTGTTTGTGTTTTTAATAATGTTATGCTTATGGTTAATAGTTCTTTGAAGTAGATATCTATTGTAGCTCACTCAGTTATGGCTAGTTTTAATTAAAGGTACTTGACTGTGTTTAATTTTGCCTTTCCTGTCACTGACTGCTTTTGGAGAGATGAATCAAACACATGGAGGCATGGGTGTATGTTGTCTCTTTGGAATAGAATACATTTTTCAGATGCAGATAGTATTTTCCTAAATTGAACAAATATTTTTGCATAAAAGAAGCATTGTGGCTTAATAGTATTTCTTCTCCAAATCACATTATTGTATTTTATCATAATGTATGTGTGTGTGTGTGTGTGTGTGTGTCCAAAAATTGCAAGGGCATTACTGTAAACTACCACTTCTCGTGTTGCTGCTCTGTCTTCTTTTATTTATTGATGGGAGTCTTCTCTGCTTGACATGTGTGTGTTTTTGTCCAGAACTTCTGCTTCTGCAAAAATGTCAGTTATGCTAATGCTAATCCATTTCTTCTTTAAGTACAGAGTAGTTAGGTGTAATCCGACTATGAGTCCATGTTTCTCAGTAGGTTTAATCAGGATATTTTTTTTTCAGGCGACTATTTCTTACTCCTCCTTTTGTTTATTCTCTTTTTTAATCTGTTTATTTATGGTTTGGAGGTCCCCACCACCCCACCTCCACCTTGAAGATGCTCATTAACCTGCATAGAATATAATATCACTCTCAAAGGAAGAAATGGGGAGGAGGGGGAGAGAAGGAAACAACTTTCTTTTCAACACCCCATGCTTCTTTTTTCTGTACTACCAGTTGTTTGCCCTGCTCATCTTGCACATCATTTTTAGACTGGTTTATCTATGCATGGGAACTCTGAGGCTTTTTGTTCGCAAGCATAGAGTGTGTAGAGGAATGGATCTGGATTGCAGTTGACACTTTATTGCTACTGTGTGTGAATAACTGATAATGAAGCTTTGAAAAGTGAACGTGTCTGTGTTTCAGAGGTACGAAATGCTCCCTAACTGCCAGTAAAATCCCAAGTAAAATGTGTGGGTACTTAACAGCTCCGAAAACTGGTCCAAAAGGTTTTTGAGTTCATATTACATCCATTCTTCTACTTTGCTATCTATGTGTTCTGTCAGCCCCACACCTATCATCAAATCCAGCATTTACTTTCTAGGCAGGATGATCCTGTTTAAAATTTTTAATGTGATGATAGTTTCTTCTGAAATAACAGTTAATCACCTGTTTTAACAAAAACTGAGACATGGTGAGGAGTTGTTCTCGCTCCCCTTTTGATCGATAAGAAAAAAACCTATTGCCTTTGGTGAAGGAAATACCACATAAGCTGTGAACCTTGGAGCTGGGACAGGGAAATATTTCAGCTTGCTGTTCTGTCTCTTCTAAAAAAGATTCTTCATGGCAGCAGAAGTTAAAGCTTTTTATTAATTTTTTTGGAACAGAGAACACAGCCCTGGATGTGCGTTACGCAGGCTTAATGCTGAGTCAGTAACATAAACCCTGGATAATGCTAATGCGATCAGACAGTACTAAAAAAAGTAATAGTTCTGACATGTAGGAGTTTGAATCTAATTGAACATAGTGGGTCCCAGTGGGCAGGAGATGATGATGCCTAATAATGCCTTTTCTTCTGAGGTTCTTTCAGGGCATCATAACATGTAAAATGTAATCTGAATTCTGTGGGGAAGAAAGAAAAGGGAAGCTTAAACTGGGCTGAGTTCTGAACTTGTTACTTGTAATAACTTCAGTTTAGTAACTAGTTTAATTACCTGGGATTCAGCTTTGGGATAAGGGCATTTGAGCGGATGGACAACTAAGAGTTTATTTTTCATAAATGGTAAAGGCGTTGCTGGAAGTAAATGATACAGCTGAAGAACTGTTAATTTTAGTGTTGTGCAGAAAATCTAAATTTTTTACCTGATTTCTTTAGATGAAAAAAAAACAAAAACCACCCAACCAAAAAAAAAAAAAAAACAAAAAAACCAACCAACAACCAAACCTCTGAGCTAACCCAAAGAAGAAACAGTGTTCCTTTTGTCCTAACAAAAGCCCACCGAAATTGTGGGGAAGAGGTGGGAACTAAGCGAGCAAAATGTGGTTATTAGCTTCTCTAAAACCAATAATTAATTTAGCTAGCTTTGATCTTCATGTCGTTTAGAACAGGAAATGAAAATACTTCTTTTTAACAATTCTTACTTTCAAATTCACCAGCATGTCTTTAAGATGAAATTCACGGAATGCAGTGAAGCCATTCCCCAAATCTGGTACGACTTTGCAGAGAGCTTTTGCAAGCCTGAATTTTTCACTCTATACAAGTGACTCTTCTCCAAATCCCCCCTCACCTCTGCTTATCAGCAGCGTTCTCTAAAAAGTGTTAGTAACGATGAGACTCAGGGACTGAGGCAAAACTCTGATACCGGGGCGGAGCCGAGGGCAGGAGCCGGCCGGCCGACATCTCCCCGCGGACTCCTCTTCCTTGGCGTCTCCTGCCCGGCTGCGGCCCCGACCTTCACCTGAAACCCGAGCCGCGGGCGGGAGGGCGGTGCCCGCCGCTATAAAGCCGGTGGCCGGGGCGCGGGGGGCCCGCCCCGTGGGACCGCACCGCACGCTGTGAGGGGTCGCGGTCACCCGCACCTATGGGCCCAGCGTGGTGTAAAGGTAAGCTGAAATAACGCGAGGGGAAAAAAGCAGACAGAAATCTATCAAAAAAAAATATTTTTTTTTTTTAATGTCAGGTTGATTATGTGTTTTGTTATCGTTATTCTTTTAGCTTTCATCAAATTCATGTCTGGTTTGTTTGGTTTGGTTTTTTTTTGTTTTTTTTTCTTTTTTCTCTAAGTCTGGATATGAGATACATCAAGAATAGCCTAGGGAAACTTGGAGCATCAGTCATTTACTGCATCTAAATCTTGCTTGATTTGTGTATGGCGTATTGCGCACGTGTATCTTTAGTCTTTATTGTTATAAACATGACCATGTTACGTTTCTTATGACAGGCTGAGAGAGTTTGGGTTGTTCAGCTCAGCTCAGAGGAGGCTCTGGGGAGACCTGATAGCGGCCGGTACCTAAAGGGGGCTACAGGAAAGATGGGGAGGGACTATGTATCAGGGAGGGTAGGGATAGAATGAGGGGTAACAGTTTTAAACTGAAAGAGGGAAGATTTAGATTAGATAAAAGTAAGAAATTCTTTTCTGTGGGGGTGGTGAGACACTGGCACAGGTTTCCCAGAGAAGCCGTGGCTGCCCCCTCCCTGGTAGTGTTCAAGGCCAGGTTGGACGGGGCTTTGAGCAACCTGGGCTAGTGGAAGGTGTCCCTGCCCAGGGCAGGGGGCTGGAACTGGATGGTCTTTAAGGTCTCTTCCAACCCAAACCATTCTGTGATTCTATAATGATTGTTCAGTAAGTTTTAATCAAACATAAGATAATGAGTCAAATCCTCTATTCTGTAATAGCTCATCCACAATAATTTGTATATGAATGATCTAGGGATTTAGCATAAAAGGCTACAAAACAGTCTACTGAGTTAGGTTCCATGACAGTAGTTTGCACTGTTCTTAATATCCCATTAAAAGTAGTTCTTTATCATGCTCTTACGTCTTTTCTTTAGTCATAATATTTAAGTAGGACAATGTTGAGACCAAAATGTAATGAGTCATGGAAAAACCCACAAATATTTTAATGTAGACTATTTAAATATCTACTATTTATAAATGTTTTGGTGCTTTTTAAATGCAGGTTTTGATTAATGTGACTTTATCTTATAAGAATACAACAAAGCAGAACAATGAAGGACTCTTTTGAAAATCCCACAGAAAAACACCTCTCTGATGCTGGTAAGCCGCAGGTGTGAAAGCTATATGTATGTTTGAGGAATATATTCCACAGCTCCAGATCTAATGGTGCATTATAAGTTTTTCCTGATTGCCATAGTGGTTTTAGAGGATATAATACAATGAGTTTCCAGTGAACTGAAGCCACTGCCTAGAAAGTGTTTATGCATGAATCATTCCCCCAAGTTCAACAGAATTTATTTACACAGGTAAAACTAGGTGGGTCCTAGCCTGTGCATGAAAATGTTTCTACGATAAGCTCAGTAAGGTAGAAGCCCATTATTGCCTTCAAATGGTTGTCTAAACCAGCCTTTGTAGACTGACTGACATTAAAAACAGTATGTGCAAAATTCTATTCATAGTGAGTCAGGTAAATATAAATTGGGGGTGACTGGTGTGTGGAACTCTTTCCTCCTGATGTGATTCACAGCTGGCTCCCTACTGTGGTTGCTCATCAGTCTTTTTATGCATTTATTGCATCTGATTTTATGCATTTAGAATTATAAGCTTTGTGGGGTAGGATTCCTCTTTTGCATAGCTTTCTAAAACCCCTAGCACAAAGGAAGGGGGATGTGTGGCAACTACTGCCATACAAAGAAATAATGGAGACAATTATTACAGGCAAAGACATGATTCTTCAGTTAACTCGCATCTATTTCATGTTACCTACAGCAGTTATAACCTTCACTATAAGCAATTCCACTTATTTCTTGGGAGTAGGGTTTCTCCTTGTTTGCATTCAGTTGTGTAGGTGTTTGCAGAATTAATTAGTTTGTGCTTTTAGTCTTTGATATCCTTTCTGTATAAATATATTTTAATTATAAAAATTAAGTTTGCTTCAATCTCAGAAATGGAGGTGGAAACTTTTTTTCTGGAGTAGAGAGGAGATGAACTGAAAATAAGTTTCAAGAAAAATTCATGAAGCTGTTCCAAGAACATGAGAAAAAGTAGCTGTTAAGCTCTAAATGCAAAAGAATCAGCAGGGAAAGTTGCAAGAAACTGGTACAAAAGATGGGTAATTATGTTTAAAAAAAAAAAAAAAATCTTTCTATTTCACAGAATCTGCAGCCAAGGGATATGACAATCCTTCTTTCCAACATGAAGAAAATCTTGAACAAAGTGACCAGTTAAAGCCCAAGAAAAAAAAGTAGGTGTTCTTTGAACTTAACACATTGGCCTCTGGTGTATTGTATGTATGGGGAGGTGGAGTTTAATATGGCTTTGCTAGAAAAAACTCATCTTAATTAGTCTTTTGTATTTTCCTCTAGGAAAGAAAATGAGAAGCCAGAAAAACAGATGGTTGGCATTTTTGAATTGGTTAGTATCCAGTTTGATGGTCTGCTTTGTGTTTTCTTTTCTTTATTTGTCATTATGAGTTGTTTATGAATTGCAACTAATAAGCAATCAAAAACTGGAGAAGAAGCCTGAGACCTATTGATGCTAGACCTCTTAAAATTTGGCCTGTTAGGTCAGATTCCCACCTCAGAATATTGGTTGCACTGACAGCAGTGCAACCTTAGTGCTGTTGGAGGATGAAGCTCACCCCTGCTGAGGCTGATCTAGGCATATATACTGCACAGGCCCTTGCCTTGGCTCTATTTACAAGGGTTTATTCTGTGTTTGACATCTGAGGGATCTGCTCTGTGAGAGAACCAGAGGTATGGTTTGGGTCAGTTTTCCATACAACAGCTATTCCCAAATAACTCTTACACATGGACGTGCTTATTCTGGAACAAGAGAAGTTTTATTCTTCTCCAATTTATTCCATGTCCATTTACACTTTGGAAGAGGGTTAGGACAGTCAGGAATAAAATGTTCTGATTTCAGATTAACCACATCCAGGAATAACTATGGTAGTTTAAATTCACATCCTTCTATAAACCAAACAAATGTCCGAGGGTAGACAAGCCTTAAGATACAATCTCTGCTGCAGACATGTTCTACTGATAGATATAACCCAGGTGCTGGTCAATAACTCACTCTTGTTTACATTTCAAAGGCATTATCTTAGTAAATATGTAACTTACTGGAACACAAAATGCAATATATTTGTACAGGGAAGATCATCGCTTAGAAACATGTAGGACATACACTTTGGGTTTTTTCCCTGCTGAATTAAGGAAGAACCATGTGTCCTGCCAATATTCTCTTAGCAGCCTTACTGAGTACTGATTTAAAGATGTGTGGGACCTACTACAAAATTCTTATGTCCTCAGTTTACCCCCCACTTGAAGTGAATACTTAGACTTAGAATAGGTAGGTAGAAATAAAGCATGTGTTGTGAGTCTGCTATATTGTAACAAATATGTGAACTGTCAGGTATAACAATTATTTTTTTCCTTTTTTTTTATGCTCACATAGTTTCGTTATGCTGATTGGGTGGATGTCCTTTTGATGGTAGTTGGTTTGGTCTCAGCTGCTGCAAATGGTACTGGATTGCCGCTTATGATCATTGTGTTTGGAGAGATGACAAACAGCTTTGTGCTAAGCGGCCTGAAATCAAACATGTCAGAAGGTATAAAGTTAAAATTAAACTTCTCTACATACCAGTTATGTTTTGCTACAGGAGCTGAGATTTTTTTTTTTCCCCAGATTAAGCAATGGTGCACATCTAAACAAGTATATAATGAGCAAAATTCATCCTGCTGCAAATGACCCAATTGTTTTAATCAATCTTTAATGGCTAGACCAGGACATAAGCAGTGCGTTGTTTGGGCTCTTTATGAATGAACTTAACTTTGGCGAGATAGTAAGGGGCATGACCACCTTCTGTATCTTCAGTTATCAGGCACTAGTTACTAGAAGTTCCTTAAAAATTAACGTGTGTTTGCCAAATGATTTTGTATTTTGCAAAGCTTCACTTGCAAAATACAAAATATTCCTAAGCTGATGACCCTAGGTTGCCATGATTTATTTTCTACATATAATACTTCCACAAATATGACGACAATTTTTTTTTTTCCTCCCCAACAGATGCTTCAGTAAATAGTTCCAGCTGTCCATCAATTCCAGGCGTAGATATAGAAGGTGAAATGACAAAGTAAGAGTCTTTGTAGTTATTCTGTTAACAGAGTATTGGGGGGTTTTCTTCTACTGTGTTATCCCTTTGAGCAGAAGCCAAATGTTTGTCTTCTCAAAAAGGCTTCCTAATGTGTTCAGGCTTCAGGATTTATTTTGATACAGTAAATGAAGTCTAATTGTTGCTTTTTGTGTGTGAATGACTTTTTTCACAAGATAGGTCATATGGCCTTTTGTTCTCTTATCACAGGTTTGCTTACTATTATGTGGGAATTGGCTGTGCTGTGTTGATCCTGAGCACCATTCAAGTATGGACATTTCTGATTGCTGCTACAAGGCAGACGTCAAGGATCCGGCAGAAGTTCTTTTTTGCAGTGCTTCATCAAGAGATGGCTTGGTTTGATACTACCCAGATAGGAATGCTGAACACCAGACTGACAGAGTGAGGGTTCTGTTCATTTTTTTATCCCCCTAAGTATGACATTCAAAGAAAACTGACATTTATCATCTATGGATAGCCTATACAGATTTTTTAAAAAACAACAAAACCAAAAAAACCACCAACCATCACCCCTACAAAATATACCCCCAGCACTCCCTCCAAAAAAAAACAAAGCAGATATCCCAAACAAACCCACACCTAAAATGTGAAATATTGCAGCTCTGAGGGAGAAATTAATTATTCTTTTCAGATTCATTTTTGCACTTTCTGTGATATAAGCACTGGAAGGGATTTTGTATGAAATGCCTGACATTGGCTTTTTGATGTCCATGAAGTACATGGCAGACAGTACTAAATAAACAGTTCTGCTGTCTCCAGCTAGTTTACAAACACTTAAAGCTCTGACACTTTATTGAATGGAAATGAGCTTGCATTTCCAGCCGGCCAGATCTCAGGCTGGACTCTATCCAGTCAAAAAAATCTTTGGAGCTTTTCCATAGACTTAAATAGACAGAGGATTGAGGACTGTATACCCCAAGATGTAATGAGACTATATGCATGAACACAGATTTTTTTTTTTGATTTTTTTTTTCTGGATTTTAAGGTAGGTTTGGACAGAGCCGTGTCTTGAAAGGTGTAAGAGAAGCTTAAATGAAACCACTCTCAGCTCTACTATCTGTATGTACTGGGAAGAGAAAATGGGGAAAGAAATTTTTATGAAAAACAGGTTCTTCCAAATAATGGTTGTTCTGATAGAATGGAGATAACCCTTGGTCTGAGTTTGTAGCCAAAATGAACTTAAAAATGCATCAGAGAGCTGAGCAAAAGGAATCATTTGGAGATGGTCACAGGAGGTGAGGAGGCTGTTTGGCTGTTTGCTTGTATTGCTCCATTGGGATGCTGGATAAGGAAACTAGGTCATTTGTGACCTAGTGACATGGCATAGAAACAGCAGAGAATGTTGGAAAACACAGAAAATGAGTCCTAAAAAATAGGTTTCTGCTGTGTTTTGGCCACACAAGAGACTAATGGTACTGTTCAGTAGCTGTGGTTAGAAATTTCACTGTGCCAGTTAGGAAATGGCAAAGCTTCTGACAGTAGGCCACACAGCATGAAATGGAGGGGGAGGGACATAGAATGAAAGGCAATGAAAGCTAACAAATCTTTTTTTATCATTATTATTATTTAAAGTGACATCAACACCATCCATGAAGGCATCGGAGACAAGATCTGTATATTTGTACAGTTTTTTGCCACATTTCTGGCAGGGATTATTATAGGATTCATCTACGGGTGGAAGCTGACACTGGTGATTTTGTCAGTCAGCCCTCTGCTTGCTGCATCAGCAGCAGTTTGGTCAACTGTAAGTGTGTGGGGATTAATAAACAAAGCAAACCAGAAAAACATTATAACTCTTATGCAGAGGAAAAGGGGAGAGAATGGGAGAAACCTAGTGTGGTTTCTAAGTTGGGAGGTTGGCCCCATGCTTACTTTGATTTCTGCTCCTTCTGTAGCTTTTCTCTGAGGTCCCAAGCATGTACTTGTAGGTCATGTTCCTTCTGTCCACATACTCTGTCATCATACCTTGTGACAGGAGGGTAACTTGCATCAGAGCATCTTCATCGCACAGTGATTTCCTCATGCAGAGCTCTGGGGAAGCCCAGACACACACCTGTGACCCTCGCTTTTCCCTCTTAACACAAATGCCTTTCAAACTCCTTCCATCTGCACATACACAATACCACATCCCTTGCAAATAATTTACCAAGTTTCATGCTGTGCACAGAGTAGACCCTAGGACATATATACAGCTGCTGCAAACTGCAGTGATATGAATTAGTGAAATATCTGAAGAGATTTCCCTTTCAGATGAGAAAGCATTTTCCCCTTTGTGATCCATTGTAGCTGCATTAATGGGTACAGCTTGTATTCATGAGTGGTTACTCATATATAATACTAGGTTGTGTTTTTTTTCTACCTGAAGCATTTCAAATAAGCTAGGAAGAACATTAGAAGCTGTAATGTGACTACCTTGCTTACTTTAATGTCTACTGGTGCTCTAGTTTCTGAACACCTCAGACATCCCCCAGGGCAGCTATGGCACACCTCCCTGGCCCTACACACATCATAGAGTAGTTCATAGGCTGTCCTGAGCTTGAGAGGAAAGTGGATCAGTCATGAAGCTCATCTGATGCTCGTGTAGTCTTTCACTGTAAGGAGGACACAATGAGAGAATTAGCTGGATTTTGGGGAAATTCAAGGCACAGAGAGGACTTGACCCTCTCTTTCCTAAAACCTCATCTTGTGCCTTGAGCATTGATCATTCTTATTCACCAACACAGTGTGCATAGACTTTCAGTAGGCTGCAAGAACATCTGGTTTTCAATTTTCCAGCTCCTGGCGTCCCTTACTGCTAAAGAGCTGTCTGCTTACGCCAAAGCAGGAGCTGTGGCAGAAGAAATTTTGACAGCAATAAGGACTGTTGTGGCTTTCAATGGACAGCAGAAGGCATTAGCAAAGTAAGTTTTTTAAATAATACTTACATTTAAAATATGGAAAAGGAGCTTGGTTGTGGGCTGGGTTTGTGGTTTGTGGGGGTATTTTTGGAGGGGCAGGGGAACGAGATTTACCTTAGTGTCATTTTATCCTTCTATAAGTGGACAGCTCATCTGAAAATAAAGCTGTGTAAATAGACCTAGTCAGTGAATACGGGCTACTTGGTGTTATCACTGCAGCATGGGCTCAAATTTCTCCTCTGATTGAGATCTGGAGTTTAATTTAAAGTGAAAGTGGTGGGAAGGTTATCTTTACCTAGTAGTGAAATGCAGCAAAGCATGTGATTAATTGCTTAACTTCTAGAACATGTTCACTGATGTTCTGATCTTTGATTAATGAGCTTATATTTAAGCTTCACTGGGTAACAGCCTTATGTAAAATCACATCACTGGCTTTTATTACTTTAATGATTTGCAAATAACACTTGTAGATGACCTAATTCAGTCTTGGCCCTAGTCACATGTAAAAAGTGAGGTAAATATGGCTGACTACAAATTTCTTCACGTATGCATCAGATAACAAGCATAAACAATAACATTCAGTATACAAATACAGGACATCACCAATACCATGCAGTTGGGAAAGGCAAACCAGAAAGCCTGATCCATATGATCCATTAATCTCTTTTTCAACGCTCATGTTTGCCTTGGTCTTGTGTGAAATTTCTCAGGGAACATTAGCCCTAGCTCAGGGTCCTACAGCCTGTTCCTGCATTTATCTGCTTCCAAGGACTGAGCTCTATCTTCTAGCACTTTGTTCTGCTTACTGAGATTTGTCCTTAAGTTGCAACAGTACTAAGACCCTTTCTGTTTACACAGTAAAAACAAAAAAAAACCCTAAAATGGCCTAGATCTGTTATCCCCATCCTCCTCATCTTCTTGGTCCCTGCAAAAAACAGTGTCTGAAAATCCAATAGTAAGAGCTGCTTCAAACTACGGTTTGTTTTGGGTTTTGGGTTTGGTTGGGTTTTTTTTTTTGAGGTCTAGAGACAAAATAACTGATACCTTTGTAACTCCATGCCAGTAAGGCCTTTCCTTTTCTCCGTGGTTGATCAGTCAGCCTCTTCCACAGCTCTACCTCCATATAATGTAAAAAACTCATGCAACTGCTGGATTTCCTAGGAACAAATACAGCATTAGTAGCATGTGAGCAATTACGTAGACAAAATTAATGCAAAGTATTTTAAGATTCCTTCCCAGCTGACTGAATTTCATGTCTTCCTATTATGGGGATGTTTTGTATAGGAAATATGTAGTCGGAAAAAAGTGCAAGCTGTTGAGCATGTCACTGACAAGTAAAAAGATGCACTATTCCTAGGCTATACTTTTCATAACGAGCTTGAGTAAGTGAAAACTGTTATCTGGAAGCTATAGATGAATAAATATGAACTATCCTTAAAAGAAGTAAGTCTCGCATTGAACTTGTCAGTCTTCATACTGGTCTTCTGTGTCCACTTGTTTTCTATATTGCCATACTGATCAGTAAACTCTCCAGAATGACCAGTAAGAGAACAGCTCTGGCATCAGAGGGAGATATGGCTTCTATTCGTTTACCTGCCTTCACCCATAGTGCCTAGGGTTGTGGGGTTTTGTTTTGCTTTTTTTAAATGTGAAAGACAAAACCTTGCCTTTCATAGGTAATGTTGATAAAATCTTTTCAAGGTGTCCTTTCAGGACCAATAGAAACAAATGGCTTAAGAGTGGTATGGAGTCTTCCATCATGATAATGAAGCCATGATACCAAATTGTTTTCTAAATATGTCTTCCATAGTGGTATGACAATGTTGTCAGCATGTGTCAGAGCAGATTCATTCAAAGGAATTATATCCCTATCAGTCCTCTGTCAGAAAAACCTCCTGTATTCTCTTTGTGAGACTTCAAACACTTTTATAGCGGAAATCCTTTTAATTAAAAGAAGGGCACTGGGAAATATCAATCAGAATGGCATGTGGTACGTGTCAAATTAATGGTTTCCTTATCCACTTTCAGATATGATGCTAACTTAGAAATAGCTAAAAGTGTTGGAGTGAAAAAATCCATTACCACCAACACATCTCTAGGTGTTTCAGAATTTCTTATCTTTGGAACCTATGCACTTGCATTTTGGTATGGAACCAAGCTCACTGCTGAGGAAGAAAGTTATGACATTGGCCGTGTGTTAATTGTAAGTACAGCCATTAAGCTTTGAAAAATGCTCTGTAACATCAAGAAGATAGTTATGTAAGTGGTCTATATAATTATCTCTACTTTCTGCCAAGTGCTTGCTAAATTAGCTGTTAGAGAGTCACTTGGCATAAAAAAAAAACTGAAAGGAAGACATTCATTTTACCTAGCTTTCGATATAACAAGTTTGAACAGGACACCTTGAATTCCCACTCTGATCGACGTAGAGGCAAAAGTATCTGCACTTTTCTCACTTGTCTTGGACCCTATTGTAGGGCAGAATGAACCACCTAGAGCTGGTGGTTAGGGAGCAAAGACAAGTAACCTGGACTGCCAACAAAATCCTAGCTAGATGCTAGGAAAATGAATCCCAATGGTGTGCTGAATGTGTACTGGGAAGCCCTCAATGTCTCATTTAGCTGCAATGTCTTCTGTGCATTTTGTTGTTGTTTACTTGCAAGCGTTTACTGTACGTTACCAGTATGCTAAGTTGGTAATGGTTTGAAGATATTTAGCTATTTTATTGCTGTCAGAAGTTTGGTTACATGCTTAACTTTCACACTTAAGTGACTTCTGATGAGTTCTCAGTATGGTTCCTCACAGCATGTCAAGTTAATCGTGTGTTGGTCCCACAGGTGGAATTTGAGTTAAGAAAATCTGGATTAAATTTTGCAAGCCTCTTAACTTTGAGAACATCTGGAAAGCAACAGAGAAAGATATTTGTTCTATTTGTGCATGATAGAAAACGCAAGAACATTAAAAAGAAAAGTCATTCAGGCCCCAAAGGCATGTGTCAGTAGTTACCATTCACTCCAGGAAAACGGGGAGTCAACAGGAGCAACTGTGAAATGCACCTTTCATTTTCATATTTAATTTTCCTGGAAAAGGTGTTCTAGAAAGACTTGAGCATTTAACAGTCAGGCACTGGTGGCTCTGTAATCACTGTTAACTACACCTCCCTCTCCCACAGGTGTTCTTCTCTGTGTTCGTTGGAACCTTCTCCCTGGGCCAGGCAGCTCCCAACTTGGAGAGTGTGGCTAATGCACGTGGGGCTGCTTATGAAGTATATCGGATTATCAAGAAGGTAAGTAAGCAGAAAAGAATACTTTTAACAGCACTTAAATTCCATCCCACCACCTCATTTTTTTCTTTCCTCCAGAGGTGTAACAAAAACACTCAACAGCCCCTAAATCATAATTTCTACAGATGCCTATCACTGAAACCCATAATATTTCCATTCATATCAAGAAAATTGCCTCTTTATTTGAGACAATTAATGTTGGGAAAATTGGCATGTGTATCTGAGTTTCATGGACGAGATCTCTCTAATGTTAGACTTGCAACCCCAGAGGGATTGTAGTAAGGCACTATGCTAATTTTTTTTAAATTCAATGTACACACATCTGAGCTGTTTTTTTTTGCGGGGTGGGGGAGTTTGTGAGGAGTGCATTAATAGTGCTATTAAAAGCTATAATAATATAAAGCTGCACTGCTGATGTTGCTATGAAAAAGGGTTTCCACACTGTTATTATCTTGATCGTACTGTGTTATGCAGCAGTTGGATATCTGTGTATATAAAATAGTTTAAATAAGTAGGACTACAAAGTTCATGCAGAAACGGCTGCATCGTTCTTCTTGATGTGAGTATAAAATCATTCCATATGGATTACTGAGGGCCATGTTTTGGCTACAAGATAGTACAGTTGTGTTCTGCAGTTATGGATTTTCTGCTGTGGATTTTGTTGCATTTGAAAAATGTACTATATTTGTCAAAGTAGAATTCACAGTTAGATGTTCCCCTGCATTCATCATCCTTGCGAGTAAAACGCAGCAGCTCAGCGATGGCTTACTGCAGGGTAAACCAGCAGCTAAGAAAGTAGAGAGAACAATGTACCCATGTGAAATAACAGTTCTAAAAGTGTACTAACCAGCAATATATAAAAACCTCTTTCCAGAAGCGGCTCATAGATAGCAGTTCTAATGAAGGCTACAAACCAGACAAACTCATAGGAGAAATTGAATTCAGAAACATCCATTTCAGTTACCCATCCAGACCTGATGTTAAAGTAAGTGTTCATTTTGGATTAATCTACTGTATGGAAATTCTGCAGCCTATGTCCATATTATTTGTCTAATCTTCTTGTTGTTCTTGAATGCAAAATGCATTCCTATCGTGGGAGATGGGACATTATTTTCTTCCTCCCTAGTAGTGTACAGACAAAGCTCTAGATCTGCTGCCACTGGCTACCTGCTCACCATTCTCCTCTGCTGGACAAAGCTAAGAACACGTGTTGCTCCTAGTCTGAATTTCTGTGAATAACAGCTCTGATAAGCCAAATAAGATTTTTTTTCAATATCTGTCATTAAAAATTCCAGACATTAGACAGTTAAACCAGGAATTTGCTCTTTCCAGTCCCTTGGTTATTCTGAGTTGCTCTGATATCCCATGTGAAAAATGACCTGTGAGAGAGGCTTTGCAACAGGATGCCATTAAATGGATTGAAACATATAATCCTAAATATACATTTGGAAGTCAAATGTTATTTTGGGCAGATGTTAAAATTGCTTCTCAACAAATTGATGTCCCTATTCTTTCCCAGTTAAACTTTTCATAGTACCCTTATTGTGCAGTTCTATATACATCATGTCATGGTGATTATTTTTGTGGTGACACAGTTGGTTTGACCTCTCTATTATATTCAACAGTTTATAATCTTTTTAAGACCTTGATAAAGGTTAAAGGAAAAGGGATTTTGCTGCTGTTATTTGATGAAGAAAAAGGTAGAAAGAGGCTTCAAATGTCAACAATTAAAAGCTGGACATGCCAACCAAGTGGTGAGAATAGGAAAGTTCTTGGCATCGTGGCTATCTCTTCAAGATGGCTTGTCCCACCTCAGTCATCTGAGGTCTGTTCCATTGTGCATCAAATCTGCTTCCAGGACACTGGGGCTGCTAAAAGGACAGATACAGAGCTAGGATTTCTGCCTGACTGAAGTCAGGGCAATGCATCTTCTTTCACTCTTGGCTCAGAAATCTGTGACAGCAGATGCTTCATCCTTCTTCCTAAAAATGCTATTTAAACTGATGAGCTATGTTATGGGTCTGAATGCCAAATGGAAGAGAAATAAGAAATTTTTTGTTGTTCTTCCCGAATCTACTTGATTCAGCAGCTCTCCCTACTAAGAGTATCAATGTTATTTAATAGAGCTAAAAGGAATCAGCAAAGATGTGTAGAAGTTATCTACAGTCTCTAAAGCAATTGATGCAACACAGTGTAATCTCCACTGTCCAGGCTAGACCAAATCAAAGAGATTGAAGGAGTCCAGTTATTGTCAGATATAATCTTGACAACACCTTGACTGATAGAGGAGAGTTAGAAATAGTCTATTAGGTGGTTGTGACTATTTGCATCTGAAGAAATTATGGTATCTAGAATATAGCTCTTACTTGATAATGTAGGCACCAAGTTACCAGCTTCTTGGAGATACAAACTCTGCTGGATGTAACACAGGGAGAAGAGAGCAATATTGCAACTATTTAAATCTCTCATTGCAAAAACACGTGTAGGCAAAATTATAAATCAGCCTTGTATAAACAAGAAGAGTTTCCATAGCAGCCAAATATTTTGGCAACTGCACAGCATTACTCATATATGACACGGACATCTTCTGAGGTAAAATGTTCCTAAATGTGAAAATGGCAACAAAGATATCATTAAGCTGCAACTACTCCCCAGGTTGCTGAGGCTGTTAACAATAAAGATTGGGATTTATTAACGGCTTTCCAGCAGTTACCTTATCAAAACAGCCATTTATATTCTAAAAATAGAAGAAAGCAGGCTTGTTTCTCAACAATAACAGGTCTAAGGTTTAGCACCTTAGAAGTATTTTTCTTTGAGATTCATAACTGTTGTGCCCTTGTCTAAGCAGTGGAAAATGGAGGCCAGCAGGAGAACATAAGACCCTGAGCCTGCTATCAGGTCACACAAATTGGAGAAAATGAGCTATCAAGTTTAGAGTACTGTGGCTGTGTCTATATTAGTTGATTTGAATGTGCTGGAGAATTTTCCCAGGCACTGGAATGCAATAGTCTATGCAAGGGAACTCTTAAAATGTTTCTTGGCATGAACTTGGCCTGTTCCAGTTATCAATCCTCAAATAATTCCCAGGCTTTGTCTGGTAGCCAGAAGGATCCAGGGACCATTCCCAAAAAGCAGGTTGGTAGCCATACTGTTCTGAAGGCTTAATACACTTCACAGGCATAGATGCAGGCTCTTTCATATCTGTGCCCCAGAATATTCCCAGGTACAAGTGCCATACCTTCAGCCTGCGCCCCTTACTTGATTATTACTACAGTTACCTTGACAGACTGTTCTCTAATCAAATTTGTCAAAGTAGGATATATTGTTTTGTTTTGTTTCGTTTTGTTTTGTTTTTCCCAGATCCTCAAAGGTCTAAACTTGAAAGTTCAAACCGGGAAGACCATTGCTTTAGTTGGTGCCAGTGGCTGTGGAAAAAGCACTACTGTTCAGTTGCTGCAGAGATTCTATGATCCTGTCCAGGGAGAAGTGAGTGCCTGCAAGTGAACTGTAAAAACTGAGAGCTATTCGGATAAGCATAAGTTTGCCATATTGACAGAACCTTATTTTTTATTGAATTTGAGCATAACTCTGCATAGTTCAGCATTTCCACAATTTAAATTTCAAATTAGCTATGTTTTCCTGTTGGCTTGACTTCATTATTCTCTTTCTTGCACTGATGTGCCAGAAGTAGTAAATACCATAAATCCTTGAATAGATGAAAAATCTGAATTTAAAATTATTTTCATCAACAATTGTCTTTTAAGGTTCTGTAAACTTTTCTAAGCAAAAAGTGCTCTGCTGTATGTTGCTTCCTTTTCATTGAACATAAACTAAAACCTGGAGAGAGTTTTCCTATTTTAAATGGTTGTTTTCTTGGCACATTTTTCTCTATCAGCTAACCCACAGCAAAAGTTTCCGTCATTATACATTGTATGTCTGCTCCACTACAGAGTACTAGATCTGGCCAGTAAATGGTAAATGCTTCTCATAAGAAACTTCCAAATGAAAAAAGGAGAAAAACAAACAATATGTTTAAGGAAAATGTTCTTTTTATACTTAATATTTGAAGAATGCTACTTAGTAGTTGTTACTGCTAGTTGGAACTAGGCAAGCATTTCAAATATTAAATGCTGAACTATCACTACATAATGTATCAAGGCAGAAATCTACTGTCAACACAGTTGTTTCTTAGTGTTTCTGTGGCTGTTCATTTCTGCTCCCATGCCTTAGTTTGCTGTTCCTCCCCTGTGCTAATGTCAGTGTTTGTAGGACTACATTGCAATTGATGTAGGTTAAAAATAACTTTCCCCTTCCTTTTTAGTCAACTTGGATTATTCTTTTGATCTTGCGTAAAGCACAGCCACAGAGGCAAATGTGTAGCCACAACTACGAGGGCAGCAAACTGGCACACGGGCATGAGAAAAGGGTAAAAAATATGCAGGGAAGCTGGAAAGCTCTTCAGCCAGCTTCAACAGCATGGTTATTGGAGGGAGAGAACCAACAAAAAACCCCTCCTGTCTTCTCTGTTTATGCTGCTCCTCATCATTTTATGGCTTGTGCAATGAAAGTTACAGTTGTAACTTCTTCCCCAACACAGGTTTCTATTAAAGACAACAATTCTTTCCTTTTTTCTTCTTGTCCTAAGCATGTAGCTCATGCTTAACTCAAGTAATAGTAATTAATAGATTTATTATTAATACAGTGCATTTCCTCAACTTCTTTGACATACGTTTTTCCTTTCAGATTACTTTAGATGGTTGGGATATTCGAACACTTAATGTAAAGTGGCTACGAGAAAATATTGGTATTGTGAGCCAGGAGCCTGTTTTGTTTGCAACAACAATAGCTGAGAACATTCGCTACGGCCGAGAAGATATTTCTGATGCTGAAATTGAGCAAGCAGCCAAGGAAGCCAATGCTTTTGACTTTATATCTAGACTGCCTGATGTGAGTTCATGAACTTCTCTTGAGTGTAAGAATGAGAGGTCCATTTAGGCAGTGTCCTATTTCTGAGAGGGAGAGCATGGGAATTCAGGTTGTACTATAACTTCTCAAAATACTCTTACAGCCTCTAGCAGCTTTCAGTTAAGGGACTTTCTGGACTAGATATTGTGCATTTGTTTGGTTGCCCTAGAAGATTTGTGTCTAAGTCTGGAAAAAATGTCAATGTCTTAACTCAGGAGAAGGGAAGCTTCACAGCTGTATGACCATCCTTACCCATCTCACAACGCACAGGAAGAGCTGGGCTTTTAAAAAGAAGACCTAGAAATACGAAACCCCTTGTTAGGAGCTGTCTGTGCATTCAATGGGAAATGGGGAGTAGAAGTAAATAAGTATGCCCTGAACCAAGGCCATTTGTAGCAGATGGGAGCTTGAGCTCTCTCTCTGCCTGAGATTCACAGCTTTGAGCTCTCTCTTAGCAGTAGGTGCCTTACTCCTTTCAGGGTGGGGGTGGGAAGCGAGTAATTCAAAACACATTCTCAGGAATGGATGATAACATGTCCATCCTTTTGGTCCTGCAGTTAAAAAGATGTGGAAAAAGTGTCCACCTGGGATTTGATTTCAAATTCTTCTACTACCTCAGAGAGCTTGGCCCCTATCTCTCAAGCATGTGCTGTTTCTAGCGTGTCAGTCTATTCCAAGGTTCCCTCTTCTCAGGAAGAGTTATTTGATCATATTTACTCGTAAACAGCTGTATAATAAAAGACTACAGTGGATTTTGAGACCTGCAACTTTGGAGTGAGTGACAGTGTCAGCAGGAACCAAGCCATGGCTCCAAGGTGGGAGTCTAAGGTTCAGAGGAGGCAACATTATATGTCCTGGTGGGTCCCTATGACCCTGTTGGAAAGGTAGGCAGTCCTCAGTAAATACGGAGATGCTTTTTACGGGCTTGTCTTGAGAAAAAAACAGGGTTTGGAGCACTGTCTGATCAAGCAGTAAATATCAAGACTTTGAAGAACCATAAGTTCAAAGTTAGGCATGTAAAGTATGTAATGTGGGTAGGAGTGCTTCGCTAAGAGCTAGATGGATCGATGTAGTCGTTCTGTAGTTTGCTCTGCCCATGCTCAAGTCAGACAGAAAAAGCTACATCTTGTCTAGAAGCTGAGTGCTTGTGATCACAAAGAGAAGGGAGGATTTAATTTGAGATGTCCCACAGCTTTTATTTTGTTTTCTCCTTTCTCAGAAATTTAACACCATGGTAGGGGAAAGAGGGGCTCAGCTGAGTGGAGGACAGAAGCAGCGAATTGCTATTGCCCGTGCCCTGGCAAGAAATCCCAAGATTCTTCTTCTGGATGAAGCTACGTCCGCGCTAGATACTCAGAGTGAATCCATAGTGCAAGCAGCTCTCGATAAGGTAGGAGCCATGTTACTGAAGCTACCAGTTGCCATGAAAAGGTGCAACACCACTTTAAAAAAAAATAACATACGATTTTGAGTGCAGATTTCCACTGGAGTCAAGAACACTGGAAAATGAAATTGGAATGGATGTTTTAGTTTCACTGTTTTAACAGGGAGTTAAAATGATCAAAATTTTACTGAGACAACATGTCTATTCGGTGTTTTTTAGTATTATTACTAATTACCAAGACACAGTCATGTGTAACTGTCACTTAGGGCTCCTGCACACTCTTCCTCAAATGACAATTGTTCATTTGCTGGTAAAATATGGATGGCATCTTATCAAAGCAAGGTATGAGGACTGAACAGCCTTTTTCAGGTAGATTAATAGAAATGTATAGTATAATATTCCTCCTATTCATTCTTCATTGAACAGTTGCTTCATAATTTTCAGAAAGTTCTTGGGATTTAGCCATTTTCTTTCTTTACAGAGACTGACTGCAAATCACAGAACAAAAGCTGAATCAGTTACAAATACTGAGTCTCTGCCCTCTTCGTGTTTATCAGCCCCACGACTCCAGGGTGGGTGCTACTGTGAAGCAGAGCTGTCAGAGCCTGTACCCATGCCTGTCCCACCAGTTTACAGTCCCTTCCTTGCAGCCTTCCTTTGTCAGCAGTTTCCACCAAGATGTAATGGAGCCTAAAGGCTTTGATTAAAAAAGAATTTCATGGTTGGACTGGAATGTTTTTTCATTCATCTAATATTTATTTTAATGTATTTTTAAAAGCTAAGTGAAAAATCCTGCCTTTCATTTCAGTAGTTATGCAGAGAGAGATATGAGTTAGAAGTGTCCCTCAAGGGAAATACAGAATTTGCCACCTTCATTGCCAGTCATTTTAAATTTGAGGTAAAATGTAGATGTTGGTTATATTCGCATGACTATACTGATATTATTAGTATTGAGATAACATGTGGATGCAAAAATAATATTAATCTAATTTGTATATAAATGATATTATTGCTGTAAAGTTAAGGACCAAAATATTGTTTCTTCAGCATTAATTTAGCTTTCTTCTGCCTGTTCTCTAATTCCATGATCAAATACTAACCTTTTCCAGAAGCTTATTGCTTCATTTAATACCTAACGTAGAGGGAGATCACTCAGTTAAGGGAACTGTTCAATATACTCTTCCTCATCCTTCAGCATGTTCCCGGAGTACACCAAAATGAGCCCTGAATCATAACTTTCTCATCTTTCACAGCTTTTTGATGTCCATCAATGTAGTCCCCAAATGGGATTTACAAATTTCTTCTCAACATCCCTGAGTGGAAAAAGCGGTGCTAATATTGTTCGTTATTTTTACAGCTGAGAAGCAGAGATATTAACCTCACAGATGCACACCATTTCTGAGCAGTCACATGTATGTGTCTGTAGTCTGCTGTTTTGCAGATAACTTTGCATCTTTTAAAACATTTTGCTTGCTCTGATCATAGCTCCAGTTGCAGTGGTGAAGGCTCCGCACCGCTGTGTGTTGGGGCACAGCCATGAAATCTGCACTGAGGCAGACCTCCTGTGACGGGCTTTGAGTGACTTGCAGCAGATCTGTGACTTAGTGACAGATGTAGGGGAAGAATCCGAATCTCAATGGAAGCATTCATCTACTGAAACTGTCCTCATTTTCTCCATGCCCCTATTCCTGTGCCAATATGATATACAGCTTCTGTAGCAAGTACCTTCCAACAGGCTTCTTGACTGCAGAACATATCTGGTATGTGAGGTCCCCTTAGATTTTTCCTCCTGCCCCCAAGTCACCATCTGCTCCAGGCATCCGCGAGGAGGGAAGCCACTCTCCAGCAGCCGCAAGCTGGCATGTGCTCCTTTGCTGCATGAGAACTGTGCACAGTACTGGTCTGCATGTGGGACCTGGAGAGGGATGGGACATGTAACCTGCAGACTGAGGCTTTGATGGCTCTCCCTGCCAAGTCCCAGCAGGCCCCTAATTTGAGATGTAGCTGATTTTAAAAAACTGGGAGAGAGCTTTAGGGAGTGGCTAACACTGCAGATGTGCTCCACTCATCTATGTTTTCCTGTTTAAGTTTTGTCAGAAGTCATGCTAATGTTATACTTCCTAAAATATGCATGGACAGTATATAAAGAAAATATCCTTTTTTTATATGCTAGCTATCCTAGCTTTATTTTGAGAAAGATCTAACTATTCTCACTACATTTCCCTCCCATGTGTGCATACACATGGAAAGCTTTATGGGCAACTTTATCTCAAACAGTTCAAGTTCAATAAAAAGTCAAATAACCTTAATTGTAGCCTTTAATACCCGCATTGCCTGTCTAATAATATTAATGTGGTTTTCTCTGCCTGAATTAGGCAAGTGAAAGTATCCTTAGACTGTTAAACAAGAGACACAAAACCAAGAAAAAAAATCTGCTTTTAGAAGAAAGAATTCTTTTTACAGTTTGGATTTATTTGATGTTATAAATGCTTAAAATAACTGTTTTATTTCTGTGATATTTTCTTGCGTGTTTTAATGTAAATTGCTTTTGTTGTTTTTCCATAAGGCTCGGACTGGACGTACCACCATTGTGATTGCTCACAGACTGTCTACCATCAGAACTGCTGACACTATTGCTGGATTTGAAAAAGGCATTGTGGTTGAACAAGGGACACACAGTGAACTCATGTTGCAGAAGGGAGTCTACTATTCTCTTGTAATGCAGCAGGTAAGGGCAAATTTATTTATTTTCTTTCTCCATGTGTTGTTTCTCCAAAGTTGTGAAATGCTGCTATGTGAAGCCCTTTTCTCTATAGTTTCTGCATGTTGTCCAGTTGGCAGCTGCTCAGTCACTCCAGTCTGGGCATAGACACAGACTTGGAGTTCTTGGGGCTTTTACCCATGAAAGTGTTTCAAATTTACACAATCTAATGTGTCAAAAACATAAGTAAGATGAAGGCACAGACTACATAATTACAGCATAACCACAGAACTGTTAGATTCCAGGTGGATTCAATAGACTGCTTAAAGAAAAATGAGAAAAGAGGAAAAAAAAACAATCAGGACCAAATAGCCTACTGCTCTGCCATTACAGACTGAAATCTATGTGGCCTATGGGCAACAGTGATCACCTGACTGAAACAGCATTATTCATGAGAAATTTTTACTCTTCCTTCTCCCTGCTCAAAACACCTTTGATTGTGTATCCTGAATTCTCACTAGGGTTATAGCAATAATGTTCAAGATGATGGGACATCAGAAGGAAGTGAAGATACAGGAGCTGAGGAATATGAGGAAAATGACAAGAATGATTTTGTGGAGAAACTGACTCTTCAAAATCATTTTGAAGAATCGGTGATCTCTGGGAAAGGCAGCATTCGAAGAAGATCCAGTAGATATAAGAGCAAAAGGTGCTCTTCTAAGAAAAAGTTCTCTGGAAAAAAGAAAAAAAAAGAGCTGGAGGTTGGTATTAAAACTTTAGTTCAGAATTTTAGTGATAACATGTAAGCATAAACACAAAGCACATGATTTTAATTACTTTTAGATAGCTGGCTGCCATGCAACCTTCACGCTGGTGCTATTACAGTCAGTACTCACCAGGCTGAGTATTTATCCTAGGGATATGGGGACAATCATGTACATATTACCAAAAACTTTATTTTAACACTATTGACTTAGTGTGGAGCTGGAAAAAACTCATGCTGTTGATTTGTCATACTTCATAAAATTAAGTGCATTATTTCAGTGTTACTCATGTTTTGATTCTATCTAATTAAAATGAGTTGTGAGATTTGATTTGCAGGATTCTTTATTTCCTGGTATTCACTGTTGCAAATACTGGTGGATAATGTGATCCCTGGGTGTGCGTACTGAATTTTAAGGCACTTTGGGATATCATGCTGCATTTATGTCAAAGGAAAAAGACCATATCAGAACCCTAGCAATTTTGAAGTCTATTTTAAATGAAAGAACCATTTTTCTCTCTCTATCTCTCTTTTTGAGTCTTAGTATATGCTTTAAAACATCCAGTTTGAAGGTTTTTATTCAGATAAAACACTTTAGCTGACAAATGTCTCATAGAAATAAAAGGCATATAGGAAGCTCAGGTTTTAGAAACAGAACTTTGTTTTGTCAAAGTTTAGTAAAACTTGCTCATGGCAATGAACAGGAGCAGATTTCTGGTGGACTCTGGATCAGACTTCAGGTAGGCAGCTCAATAAAAACTTGATTTTGTTTTTTATTTTGTCCTGCTTAAGCTACAGAATTTTTTAATCATGAAATATATTGGAAGAGTTGTTTGACATTTTGGGAGTATGGGTTTTGTTTTGGTTTGGGATTTTTTTATCTGACTTCAGGACCCTTGAATTGAAGAAATAAAATATAAATTCTGAAGTAAAACCATGATCCTTTTAAATCTACAGAGGTTAGTATCTCATCTTTAATACAGCATCTGATTATTAAAAATAGTTATGGAAGCCTTAGTGTGATTTGTATCTATCGATATTCCTTCCCACTAAAATATAGCTTCCAGCTAATACATATTTCAAATAGTATGAAGGAGCTGGATCCATTCCTATTATGACCAAAAAAAGTTATGCAACTTCAAAAGATAATTTTTGTCTGTGTATTAATACTGCTTAAGACCTCAGAGGAAGTAGTGGGTGTTCATGCCTAAGACTTCAGTATTCATCACATTCACAAAAAAATGAAGACATCATGCATCCAAGCAGTTGTAATTATTTCAGAAATCTCAGCCCACTTTTATGGTTGAGGCTTAGCCACGCTCATTCAACATCTGAAATATGGGATAAAATAACCAGGAAGCAAGAGCAACTTCTTCATAATCCTGCCTAACATTTTGTCTCATTTCCAATGTTTTCATTTTTTGCTTTTCCAGAACTCCTCCTGTGGGGGCATAAGCACTTGAATAAATTAGTAAAGCAGAACAGGACATTTTTGTACTTTTAAAGGAGATGCAAGCCGACTGTTACATATGCCTCTTTCATGCTTTTGGTAATGATGCATAAGCTATAGTTTGCAAAAGAGAAAGATGACCTCTCTACCCAATTGTATTACTGCCAGCCCACTAGCATTTAGCTGAACCGGAGGGATCTCCTCTGTGCTCTGAACAGTGACACTTTTAGTTCTTTATAAAGATACAAGTGTTAGTTGCCATTCATGGTGACCAATCCTATCTGACTTTCAATGAACTGTTCTGGCCCTTCTCCCTCATGACTTAGCCTTTTGTTAAGTTTTTTGCCTCCAAACTTTTACAGTGCAGTTGAAGTTCTAGGATATGAAACGGCAAAGCTGCAGATAGCCATCATGTTTGCTCAGTCCAAGTGCACAGACAGGGCTTTCAGTAGTTTTCAAAGTCAGTTTGCTATTCAAAGCCTAATGAACACCCACTGCCTGGGGAATTTCATGTTCTGTAACTTTCCAAGGAAAACCTGCAGCTTTCCCTTTACTGTAGAAAGAAAATCTCCCTGATGTGCCTTACTCAAGAATCCTGGCTCTGAACAAACCTGAGTGGCTGTATATACTGCTGGGAGTGATTGCTGCTGCCGTCTCAGGTGGGGTCCATCCTGCATTCGCTGTTTTATTTGGAAAAATCATTGGGGTAAGTTTGGGGTTTTTTTGCAAATTGGATGTTGCAGTCCTGAGCCTCCCCCAAGCTCAGCCAGTTTTCCCTATGTAAGGCTCTGGGTGGGATTCACTTGTATAAATGGATCCAATGAAAAATGGATAAATGTTGGTTAAGTGACCTTCTAGAGGCAGAGCCCAGCAAAACTGCATCTGACTAGCAGAGGAAAGGAGTAAAAATAGTTGGATCTGGGGGAACAAATCAGTGAGATGTAGGTTAAATAGAAATCTGGGCTGTCTTTTGGCCTTCAACAGAAAGTGGACTCCAGACTGATTTCAGGTTCCAGAATACTTGCTAAGACAAATTGAAGCAGACAAGCTTCTTGAGATTAAGGCTGCTTTATGTAACTGGCATCGTCTCATCGTCTATGTACTCATTTTTGTGTTTTTTCTTGCATAGGCTTTTCAAGAAACAGATACAGAAAAGAGGAATAAAAACACTTTGGTGCTTTCTTTAATGTTTCTTTTACTTGGAGTGATTACCTTAACAACATACATAATCCGAGTAAGTGCCACTACACTGAAACGTTAGAAGAAGCGGGCTTCAGGTATAACTCATATCAATGCAGTCTGAGAAGCAAAACATCAATCAGAGCTTACAAAAACAGGCAGAAGTGCCAGGGTTCTTCCTGAGATATATATGTTTTATGGATGTGCTTACTTAAACACATACATCCATATTTGCTGTTGGTTTAAATAAAACACTGAAGGCAGTGTGGATTCAGCATGATTGAAATCAAAGTTGAGGGTCTGACCTTAAAAGTCAAAGTTCTTAAGCCTGATGTTTCTCACCGACAGTCTATAGACTTTTGCCAAAGTAATTATAAAATGGACTCTTTTCATAGCAGACTGTTTTTCATACTATCAAGCAAACTCCATCACTTGCTGTCCTCTTATGACTGCTCCACAGCTTTCGGGAAACAGTTACTGCACATTGATGTCCATATCATAAAATCCACTGGTATGACTTCTGTGAGTGAATATCCCTGGTAGCAGTCAGAGTACAGAGGCTAATGACAAGATAGGCTCATTTATCTTCTAATGAGTCTGGGGCATACAAATAAGGTGTTACAAAGCTCCTGCCGCCTTTGCCATGATGCTCCCGTCCTGTGGGAAAACACTTTCAGGTTCCAGGAATGTTAATGGCACTTTTCCCAATACTTACATATGCACAAGGGGTTGTAGGACTTTTTGGTGTCATTGCTTTTGTTGTGCAGCTTTATAAACAGAGTTAAAGCATCAGATGAGAAAATGTGACTCTCTTTTCTCCCCCAGGGATTCATGTTTGGGAAGTCTGGGGAGATACTAACAATGAGACTGCGCTCTTTGTCCTTCAGAGCATTACTTCAGCAGGTATGAATTATGCAGCTAGGGTATCACGAGAGCCAGATGTCTTTTGCAGACTGTTACAAGGTACACATTGGGTTTTAATTGTGTGGTCTGGAGAAAAAAACAAAAACATGTCTCTTCTACCACTAGTTTAGGAAAAAGTACAACTTTTCTGGAAATCTTCTAATCCGTGTGCAATTTGGCTCAGTGTTGCTACCGCAAATAATCTAAGTTTGAAGGAGTGTCACTGCAAATGTGCATATTTCTGGCATGCTAATATGTGTATGCAAGGATGACCAGAAAGTTTAATCTCCCCTTGCTTGGGTGCTCATGATGCAAGTATGTCATACCTAATCTGTTTGGTTATTTAGATTTAAATCTACATGCTGCAATCCACAGCAAATAGACAATCTGATCATTTTTTTACTGCAAACAATTCATATTGCCCTATTACATCAAGAATTACCCATGTGAAGAATAAAGTTACTTGTATTAAATCCTTCCTGTTGATTTGTGCAATTTCATGTTACTTGCACAGAAGTTTGAGAATGCATAACTTGGCACTCCATACACACACTGGGGACACAAACCTGTGTGTTCATGGAAACTTCTCAAAGAGAGAGGGAAAATCAGTGACTAAAAAAACCCTGCCATAGCCTTTGGAGGTAAAAGGGCCTCGTTTCCCTTCTGTATGTACAAATATAGATGAGGAATTGTTCTTCTCTAGTTAATGGAATAGATAACATGTAAGAAGACAAGGTCCAAGGAAGGCCTGAGGAAATGGGTTTTATAATAAAAGTTTCTAAATAGGCATGTTCGGAAGAACATCACAACTTATAGTACTTTGATTCTGAACAATTAGATGTTTACAACAGAATAATATTTTTTCCTTTTAGTTTACTTGGAAGGTGCTGACTACAGAGGAAGAATATTTCAGTTAGCCATCATGACTTCCATTTCTCTGTGTGCTACCTGAGCTGACAATGTCTGCTCATTTAATTAGTAATCCTGATAAACATTGGAAATGTTTGTTCATGTTATTAGTAATCCTGATAAATCTGAAATATGGTAAGAACATGTAATTTTTTGAAACAAAAATCAGTGTCTCTTCTTGCAGGAGGTTGGATGGTACGACGATCAGAAAAATGCTGTTGGTGTTCTGCTGACTCGGCTTGCTACAGATGCTTCCCAAGTTAAAGGGGTATGCTGATTCTTTTGTGTGTGTTTTTAAAATATTTTTTTCCTTACAAATATTAATTGCAGTTGACAAGGGACACTGAGAATATTATTTCAGAACAAAAGGTCGTAGATCTACCCCACGGACTGTCAGATGTGTTTATGTAGCATGCTGTTGACACCTTGGAAATGGCTTCCCAGCTGATAATTTATAAGAACTATCAGAAAATCCAGCAGATGTTCACGTACCTTTCATTTTCCTCACTGTAAGTCTTTAAGCTAAATCTATAATAACTTTAGACCACTTCACCATGCAAAGTGAAATCTGTATATGTGCTGGGGACCAGAATCAGTGGATCCCAGGTTTTTACACCCTATGTGGGTGGCACCCGAGTGGCATAAATAGGTTGCATCTGCAGATAATACAAACCCTTACTGACCTTAATAATGAGAATTTTTCTTCCCATCCCCACCAAATGTGCTTCACACAGAAGCAGACCAGAAAATAAGAAATGGCCCACCATTTATAAAGAACACCAGGGAGGGTGATGGCCAAGGGAGGGAGTGACTCAAGGCACTGGTATGGGAGAAGGGGACACCAGACACTGGCAGAAGAATATGGCAAATTCTGTACAATTCCTCCTACTGCTTACCTCATCAGCAGCCCCTGATAATCTGCCAAATGTCTTTCTGTTTCTTCCCTTCTCATTGGAAAAAGAAAAAAAAATCATTGCAGGACTTGTGAGGGAAAAGTTTACTGGTTTGTTTTAAGATGTCTTTGTTTCCTTCAACTATGTACATCAAGAACCCTTTAATCCCTATATTTTTCAGAGTTTTGTTTCTCTCTCCTATCCTCCTTCCTTATGGGCTTGTAGTAAGAAAATAGTCTTTGACAAAACTTAGTAATTTTCATCTTTTAAAGTTCCAGTTTATTTCAGTGGCATTGAACTATATCATCCTGTCAGGGCAATAGAAAGGAGGGGTCCACAGGGTCCTCTAAGTACAAAAGCCAGCTAAGGGCATGAATTGGTCTCCAAAGCTATTGTGTTCTCTGGAGCATTGCAGAGTTGTCAGTAAGTATGTACTGTGCCTCATGCTGCGTTGCCTGAAGTTTCCAAATCCATCTTTATGTGCAGCCTCTAGAACATATGGCAACAATTCACCTTGGCATTGGTTTAATTATTACTATTTTAAATTTTATTGAACAAGAAAAGTCTTCTCAGGGCAGGAAAGTCTTTGGCAAAAGAGAGAAGAATTTTTGCTTCCCGCCCAAGGATTTTTGTTTTTTCCATCAAGCCAAATTTTGGAAGATGAACTATTTCCACAGAGCTGTTTTCAGACCTTTTTTCTGCAGATCAGAGCCCACCCGGATTCTGGATGATAATCCTCTCTCATTTTAACAGTTCTTCATGAAAAGGTTACATAGACTGTGAGGAGACAGGAGTTCTTCGGTATGAGTTCATCTTTCCCACTCGTTATCCCACTGAGATAAAGAAAAATTTCTGCAGAGTGGCCAAATCCAGACTTTTTTTATGAGTACCCAACCCTAGGTGCAGCAGTGTGAGAAACTGAGGATGAGTACTTTCCACGATCATTAGTGGGACAGGTCAATGGATGGTTGTTGCTAGAATGAAGCCCCTCTTGCCTAATGCTGGGCACCTAACCACCAACCTGCCTTACTGTGACAGTGGCCACAGTCTTCTGTGCCTCAGGTAGTACAGGAATTCCCAGATACCTATTTCATTAAACAGCTACCATGATCACTGTTTAGACTACTTTAAACTCACTTGAAGGCCTGAATGCTGGCTGGCAGGTATGAGGAACGTCTAGGAACAGCTACATAAGTAGGTGCATAACGTCCACACTCACGACCACACATGGTTTTGTTTTCCAGCTGAATCGCTGGCCTTAACTATATAGTAATTTAAATCTAATTACTGATATTTGGGGGTTTCTGGGGTTTTCTTAGGCAACTGGAAGCCGACTGGGACTGATGACTATGACTGTCTTTACCCTTCTGACTGCCATCGTTATTGCTTTTGTGTACGGCTGGCAGTTAACTTTGCTTATCCTGGCCTGCATTCCTTTCGTTATTGCTACAAATGCTGCGAGAGTTAGCTCTGTGTCTGGTCATGCCGCAAAAGATCAAAAAGCCCTGGAAGAGGCTGGAAGAGTAAGTCCTCCAATTTTAACTACAGGGTTATGGTGTGAGATCACTTTTAAGGACATTATTGTAGCTATATTACAGCTGACTCAATTATCCAAGATAAATGAAGGGGGAGAGGAAAGGACAGGACAGGATGGGGGATACAGGGAATGTTTATATATTCCTAAGTAAATCAAAACATAGATAACACAAAACATCTGTAAATTAGGCTATAAAAATGCATTTGAAAGCCTCCATAGCAGATTTCTGGGCAGGGACAGCTGTAGCAGCAGCAGCCCCAGCACTGGTGCGCCTTGTGCCTGGGGCAAGCACCGTGGCTCTGCACTGCTCTGTCCTGTGGCCAGAAGCATTGCAGGACTGAGCCACCAAGCCCTGACATTGATACTTTTTTATTCCATCATAAAATGCAAACCATGAACATGCTCAACGGTTTCAGGGTACTGTCTTCATTCACCAGATAGCGCTCTTCCAGGAGACAGAAGCAGTCCATGCAACAGTGCAAATGGTGTCCAGGTGACAACAGTTGGTCCTGTTTTATTAAATAGGGTTAAATTCATCAGGATCACAATCCATGGGTTAGGTCGGGGTCTGCTGATGCTTCATGCATGCTAGCCCAAGATTCTGAACTCAAATGTGCTGTTGGCTTCAGCCCCTGCTTGTCTTGTGACCATGGGGTGTATATTCTCATTGCTCTGAGCTCTCCTTCACCTGGTAACAGACCTCAATCTCCTCTCTTGCTTGCTGATCTAAAGTAATAAATGCTAGAGAAGAGATCAAGTGTTTAGGAGATACGTTGTACATATCAGTTGTAAGGGATTACCTCTTGCTTTATCTCCTAATTTAGATTTCAACAGAATCCGTTGAAAACATAAGAACTGTAGCTTCACTGACAAGGGAAGAAGCATTTTATGAAAGATATGTTACTAATTTGAGTGGTCCATATAGGTAGGATTTTTTGCTTTAATAATTCTTTCTTTGTACTTTTTAGTCTTTCAGATGTATTGTAAATACATTTCTTGCAAGCTAATACCCAAAAGATCGGGAAGGATATCAAAAGCCATTTACATAGTTTTAAAATTTGTTCACTTGCTATATTTTAATATACAGAGTTAAATGCAGAGGGGAAAAAAACATTTGCAGGATTTGCCTTTTCATTATGTAAACACTTTATAAACTGCATTCTCTGAGTATGTTACAGAATATCGGGTTTGTCTGTGTATGCCTAGAATCTAGGACATACGTTCACTCCATTTCAGAGTACTGCATTGATACTAGTTAACTCCCATACCACATCCCTTATAACATAAGCCAGTCTTATTCCTCTCATATGACTGAAACCTTGAAATGAACTTCATGTTTCCCTTGTTTGACCCACTATGCCCCACTGACTTGTCTCCACTGAAACGTAATTTGAACCATCAGGGATGACAGATTTTTCTAGCTCCACTTTATTTAAACAAAATTGTTGTTTCTTTCCTCCTTCAAGGTAACTAATGTAAAAGAAGGAATTGAAAACGATGCATTGTATAGTCTGTCCTCAGCCAAAACAGTGTTAAAATTCAGTGTCTGGTAATACCCCAGATATGGGCAGGATGCTCTCCTGGACTGTCAAAGGTTTCTGATTTACAGCTTAGACTAGAAAGGAGATTTCCATTTCCTCAGAGAGCATCCTAAACCATGAAGGCAGAGAGTCCTGCAGACTATGATTCAGTGTGCAATCAATTAGCTACACAAAATGAAACTTCTCTAGAAGGACAGATTGAGAAATAGAGGCTTAGTCTGAATCCCTGAGGGGATACCCAGCAATACATCCCTGCTCTGAATCAGGATGAGAGGTGTCTGCTCGGATGGGAAGACCTGGCGGAAGCCCGCAGGCAGCTCTCTTAGGCTGGGCTGGAGCCTGCTTGTTTTCTTAATAAAATGGGTCATCTGTGGTAGTTATTAATTTTTTTTTTTTAACTGCTTTAGTGACCTGCCTTGCTATAGAAAAGCAGAGATTCAAGATAGCATAACTGAGGAAGAAGGATCTCATTGCTTTCTGTCCTAGGGGCAGTTCCATGTCATGATGTGGGGGGCTTTTAGGGTCTGGCGGGGTTGTCTGCGAGTGTGCGTGTGTTCTGGTCTGATTGGTGTGCTTTCAAAGGGTGAGCTGTATGGCTTGAAAACTTTAACCCAGAAATCTGGCTATGCCTCAGCCAGTGTCTGCTGTTTCTGTTTTACGAGATACTTACGGAAAGTCTCTTCCTTTATCAGAGATTCTCTGTCAAAAGCCCCTTTCTATGGATTTACCTATGGAGTAGCTCAATGTGCAAACTACTTTGTTAACGCAGCAGTCTTCAGATTCGGGGCGTGGCTCATTGCCCATTGTCTGAGCAACTTTGAAAATGTATTTATGTGAGTATACATTATAAAATGTAAAAAAAAAAAAATAATATATATATATATACACACATAGGATGTGATTTCAATGCATGCAAATTATTTCATCAAATTACAGAGGTAAGGCATAGAGATTCAGGAATTCAGTCGGGTTGGGAGTGCAGTTTGGGCAGAAGGGCTGTTTTGGGCAAAGGTGTGTATTCAGACAGTGAAGCAGCAAGTGGGTGGCCCTGCTCAGCACACCTACTCTGGAGAAGTCTTTGATGTTTGATGTTTCTTCCAGACAGAGGTATTACATAGTGATATGACACCACTGCTCATAAAATAGTTACAGGAACAAATAGAACTTCCTAATACTGGATGACATTTTGAGGGGTGAGAAGCTCCAGAAATGTCATAATCTAAAGATGCTACAAAAATTTATTCTGGGGGGTTGTTTTACACATGAGGAAAACACCACATTGTTCTGCCTGAAACCAACGATGCTTTGTCTTTTGCTTTTAGAGTCTTCTCTTCCGTCATATTTGCAGCTATAAATGTTGGTCAGTCTGCTTCCCTGGCACCAGATTATGGCAAAGCTAGAATGTCAGCCCAAAGAATCTTTCAACTTCTGGACAGAAAACCTCTAATTGACAGTTACAGTGAAGAAGGTGAAAAATTGGTAAGATTTTGGTTTGGGTTTTTTTTGAGGGGGTGTCAGAAAAATCTTGAAATAAACTAAATTATTAATGTTTTATTGCCTGCAGCTGTATGCATAGCTTCATATTTTTTTAGGGTGTCACAAAAGACAGACATTATATAAAATAGTGGTACTGACTCAATTTTTTTTAATGACCATATTATTCCTCCCGTTTGGTCAAAAGTGTTAAATATATTTTTGGTCTGAATGAGTTTTAAAAAAAAAAAAAACAAACCAAAAACAAAACAACAAAGAAAAACTTGTCCTTCTACTGACACGCATCTTAAATGATTTCAGGAAAATACTAACAATGTCAGTTCCACTAACAGTTGCGTTGTCTTCGTAAAGGTTTACAGGAGAATTAAAATACAAGTGTATTTTTCTACTCTTCTTCTAGATGAGAGACTAGTTCCTTCAGAGACAGAACAGTTTTGCCAAAAGCCATCCTCTTAAAACTGTGGAAACTCTTAAAAGTAAAAATGTGGTCTTGTGAAGTCAAAACTAACTTAATAGATAATCTGTTTTGCTCTAAAGTGTGTGTGGGTGGTGGTGGTGGATGACAAAGAAAAAAACAACAAGAGAAAAAAAACCAAAACACACTCAAAAATTCAATAAACTCAACCTCTGAACCAAAATTGTCAGTAAGGAAACTGACCTCAGCACTTCTCAGATTTCTGCATTAAATGCTTTCAGTTTATGTGATCTGGAAGGATTACATTTGCACATCCATCTAAGTTTAAAATTAACTGCCCATGTAGGTTTTAGGTGGTAGTCCCTACTCAGGAAACCATAACCCAGTTTCTATAACTTTAAGATTATACACAAGATTTTCAGCTTTTAAAGCTCTGAACACACATATCTTCTTGAATTGGCATTCTCCGGCACAGGCATTGAAGGATTTGGCAGAAGGTCCCTGGTAAAATAAAACTTAAATGAAAATATTTCTAGTATAGACTGGACTCGAATACCAGTGATGCCCGTGACTTCAGCAAAGCAAAGCTTTGAGCTCATTAAGGACTTGGGAGTATTAGTGGATGGAAAACTGACTATGAGCCAGCAATATGCACTTACAGCCCAGAAAGCCCAACTGTATCCTGGGCTGCATCAAGAGAAGTGTGGCCAGCAGGTCAAGAGAAGTGATTCTGCCCCTCTACTCTGCTTTTGTGAGAACCCATCTGGAGTCCTGTGTCCAGCTCTGGGGCCCACAACATAAGAAGGACATGGACTTGCCTGAAGGGTCAGAGGAGGCCATGAAGACGATCAGGGGGCTGGAGCACCTCCCCTGTGAGGAGAGGCTGAGAGAGTTGGGGCTGTTCAGCCTGGAGAAGAGAAGGCTCCGGGGAGACCTTATAGCGGCCTTCCAGTACTTCAAGGAGGCTACAGGAAAGATGGGGAGGGACTCTGCATCAGGGAGGGTAGTGATAGGACAAAGGGTAATGGTTTTAAACTGAAAGAGGGCAGATTTAGAATAAATAAGGAAGAAATCCTTCCCTGTGAGGGTGGTGAGGCACTGGCACAGGTTGCCCAGAGAAGCTGTGGCTGCCCCCTCCCTGGCAGTGTTCAAGGCCAGGTTGGACGGGGCTTTGAGCAACCTGGGCTAGGGGAAGGTGTCCCTGCCCAGGGCAGGGGGGTTGGGACTAGATGATCTTTAAGGTCCCTTCCAACCCAAACCGTTCTATGACGTGCGAGCATACAGTGCTGTGAGAACACTGTACTAGCGCTGCTGGTAGTATGTATATAGGACTGGCTCCTACCCCAGACAATAAAGAGAGTCTTATTAAGGCTACTTAACAACTACCATTACTTTTAAAAACACAGCTGTAAAAGCTGTGTCCTACACACCTGTAAATTACCTACCAAAGAATTTAGCTCTGCTATCTTAATAGCTGATCTTGACCTTGTGTTACATTCCTTAAATTATCCTGCCTGCAGTGTGAGATCAGGAAAGCAAATGCTATACATTATATAAAAAGTGCCTCAACTACACTTTATATTAACATTGTATATTTGTCTAAAGATATTCTCTTCAAAGGAGAAAAGCGGAAGAGATACAAGAGGTGCAGAAAACTCCTTCTCCAGAAGGATCTAGCGACTTACGTCTGCAGATCATCCCATAAGTAATGATACTACACTCAATCCAATACGTAATTTAAAAGAAATACAAAAACAGTTTTGAAAACACCCTCCCAAACTTTGTCAGTTCTCTCACTTAAACTACCAAGTCTTACAAGTGTTATTATAGTTAAAGCTAATAAATGCTTATATGAACATGTGAACTCTTCTATTACTTTTCAGAGCAATTTTGAAGGTAATGTTGAATTCAGAAACATCCATTTCGTATATCCAACAAGGCCAGAAGTTCAAGTTTTGCAAGGACTCAACCTGAAGGTTAACAAAGGACAGACTCTGGCATTAGTAGGAAGCAGTGGCTGTGGCAAAAGCACATCCATTCAGCTCTTGGAGAGATTCTATGACCCTGTGGAAGGACAAGTGGTAATAATAGACTTGTGTGGCTATTAATAACAATTAAATCTCCAGCAGTCTTTATCGTTCACCATTTCCGGTGCTTTAAACAATCCTGGCAATATCTCTGGCAATATGCCTTTTTTAGAGGTGTGGGTTACTGAGATTGTGGCTCCAGTAGAGCTGTAGACAACCTCAAGACCCTTGTCACTGCCTGCCCTGTGCATTCACCACATGTAGAAACACTGGCACCTGTGTTGGTACAGTGTGCTGGCACAGGGTGCAGGTCTCACCGGGGAAGAGAATGACCACGTCAGACTGCATTGCCTCCCCAAAGATGATCACAACCTGGTAACACAGGGGCATAATGTTCATGTCACTTGCTTGTCAGTGTGTAAGTCATCTCGCCCATTATGAATTCACACATTAGGGACATAGATACATGCTTCAGATAATACAAATGTAATCCTACATTGATGCTACTGTGACACTCGTCAGAAGGTTGCAGTGGGATTTTTGATGCAATCCCTGTTAATGGGTATAGAAAGTCCAAAGAAACCTCCTTGGATGTTTTAAGATTGAGTTAAAGGCCTACAGCTGAGAATATTTATTGTTGCATTCAGCTTCTTAGGGATGGGTTTTCCCGTGAGGTTCCCAGTGCTGTTTGTGGTCAGTAGGGCTGAAAGGACTGCAGCAACAGCCTGTAATCTGCGCTCTCTTTCTGTCTGCTGGGAAACGGAAGCAAAAACACACACACAATTAAAAACTAATGGAAGGAAATATTTAATCTATACTGCTGGTACTTTTCCATTTTGCATGCAAAATTTACTTGATTTCAGCTGGGAATCTAACACATAACAGGCTTCCTCTTACAATTCATGTTTCCTGTTTACAGTATGTATCTGTGGATGAGCTCTGTAGTCAACTTGGCTACATTCTTTCATTCTTTTGTTGCTTTTTCTAGTTAGCAGATGGATTTGATACCAGGTCTTTGAATTTACAATGGCTGAGGTCCAGACTGGGCCTGGTGTCACAGGAGCCCATTTTGTTTGACTGCAGCATTGCTGAAAATATTCAATATGGAGACAACAGTAAGGTGGTTAGTCAGGAGGAAATTGAAGCAGCAGCTAAAGCAGCAAATATTCATGCCTTCATTGAAAATCTGCCAGAGGTAAGAGATAGTGATCTTTTCTTCACGGTGAGATTAGATACAACAAGCATTTTTTTTTCTCTCAATAGGAAAAAGTATAGAATTTGTTTTAAAATGCCAGTGTGTTTCAAGCTTAAAATCCTTCTTAGTTTGTTCAAAAAAGCGCCAATATTTCAATTAATACTGGGCAGACAAAGCAGAATATGAGGGGGGTAAAATAAGAGGACAGTCTATGTACAAATAAGTCCTCATAATTTTTTTCAATTTTTTTCCTTTGACAGCTGAAATTTCTCACATTACTCTGAGAGGGACTTTTTTTTTTTTTTTCCTACAATAATTCAGTAAAACTAAATTCTCTATTTCTAATTGGATGGGCACTCACAGGGAATGTTTCTTAACAAATATGAAGAGGCAATAAATCAAAAGTGAATGACATGGAAAGCATGAAGGTCAAATGCTAAGAATTTGGTTCTAACAAGGAAAAATGCTTCCATAGTTTGTTTTCACTGTTATTCCGTGTAAGTTGAAAATGATGTAATGATGCTGAAAAATATTTCATCTTCATTACTACTAATGAAGTTTGGGATTCTTTATTCGTAAGTAATGCAGGATCAAGTTCTTCATATATATGTCAGCATTAAATCTCTAGTTATTCTTATGATCATATGCTCATGGGCAGATGTATGTGGACACCTTACAGCTGTATCACTGGTGGTACCATTCAAGACCTATTCCAGTCTTTGTGGAAGTAAATTTTCAGACCAGGTATAACCCTGTGTGGCTATATATATAGCTGTTTACACTAAAGGTGTTTATAAAAACCTTAGCTTTATTAAAATCACTTGCGCTATTCTTTTCTTTCAAGATGGAAATACCTAATCATTGTTATAGCCATGCATAAAACTTTACTTTTCTAATCTTCCTTCTCTAAGAGTATTCACAGGCCTTCTTTTTTAAATTTTTAACATCCAGAAATATAATACCCGGGTGGGTGAGAAAGGAACACAACTTTCTGGAGGTCAAAAACAAAGAATAGCCATTGCCCGTGCTCTGCTTCGTAATCCTGCCATTCTGCTTCTGGATGAAGCTACCTCTGCTCTTGACACAGAAAGTGAAAAGGTGAGTAATGATTATTATGTGAAACATGTATGTCTATGTATATGGCTAGTTGCTTTCTATAGGATAAAATCAAAGTTACAAATGCTCAGCTGTGAAACAACAGGGCAGGTGTATCACAATAGCTTTTCCAGCTGCAAGCTGTGAATTGAGCGACACAGGGAAGCTGTGCATATCTACATAAACCCCAGAAATTCAAGTAGAAAACACCATGGGGAGCTAATACTCTTCTGCTCTCTTCCTATTATCTGCATTTGATGGTAAATACTGACTTTGTGTTCTGACCCAAACCGGATGCCCAAGAACCCACTTCCCAAAGTCTCATGCTCATTTGATCAGCCTCACTGACCTCAGTGAGAAACCCTGTTGAGTAAAGGTTTCGTGTATGCACTGACATATATCTATGGGTGATATATTCAGGTAATAGTAAAGAGTAAGAAATCAAATGTGGTTCCGGTGAAAAGTGAAGGCTGTCCATGTGCTAACAGCATTATCACGACATCTTTGTGCAGATTGTCCAAAAAGCTCTGGATAACGCCCGACAAGGTCGAACCTGCATCATCATTGCTCACCGCCTGACGACTGTACAGACTGCAGACATCATTGCAGTGATCCATAATGGCAGAGTGGTTGAACAGGGCACCCACAGCCAGTTACTGGCAAAGGAAGGACACTACTATGCCCTTGTAAATGCACAAGTCTCTAATTAATACTGTTTGCAGATTTTTATTTTTTTTTTCCGGAAAGACATGAAAAACATACAGAGAATTAACATTGGCTGTGTCTGTCCTGATGAAGCAGGGACCATGTGTTGCAGTCTGGTTGCTGTACCCAGTGTAGCCCTTGTCCCACATACCCATGGGGCAAAGAAGGTGCATGGGAAAGTCTCAGGGGCTGAATCTCCTGGGCAGTTGTGAGGATCGTGTGATTTGGACAGAGCCAGAGCTAGAGTAGTCACATCTACACCATGGTATAGGTGGGACACCCTGCTCTCTCTGTCCCCCCAAATCCTGGCCCATGCCAGGTACCACAGACTAAGGCAGTACCAGAGTGATTAAGCATCATGGGTAAGCAGTGAGCTGGTACTTCTGATTGCTCCTTGGGTTTCTTCACCAGCCAGATGCAAAAAGTCTTATTAATTAAAGATGACTGTCAATTCTTACTGACTGCTGAGATTCCAAATAAAGGCATTTATATTAAATAGAGAGAGAAGGATTGGATATGTGGGTCTGTTGAATTTTTTCCCCACTTTATGCCACATTTCTAATATTGCTGTGCTTCACACATTTCTTGGATATTCAATATTCTATTTCAGACAATAATTGTAGTAGTTACATGATTTCTATACAGAGATAAACTGACGTAAGCTATCATTGCTTTGTTTAGTATTTTTAAATTTCTGACCTAACAGAGTTTAATCAGTCTTTGCATCCATCAGGGTAATCTTGAAAGTCTTGCAGGGAAGCTAGGATGGCTTCTTTTGGAGTGGACTCATGTCAGCCATGTAAATAGCTTTTCCAAAAAAAAAAAAAAAAAAAAAAAAAAAAAAAGTGGTTTTCAATATGAGATTCTTCATTTTGAGTAGATGTGGTGCTTAGGGACGTGGTTTAGTGGTGGACTAGGCAGTGTTAGGTTAACAGTTGGACTTGATGATCTTAAGGGTCTTTTCCAACCTAAATGATTCTGTGAATAATTTTAAAGATTGTTTGAAGTGTTGGCAAAACTTATTTACACATGTGCTTAAATAATTGGTTATTCCTCTGATATATTCCTCAGAGTGCTGCAATTCATCCTTCAACAGTTGAAGAATATGTACTCTCTAGTCCGAGTGTCTCAGCAGCTGGTTTTTTTTGGCTGGTTAAACTCAATTGCAGCATTTTAATTTTCCAAGGCTTTGCACGTGGCTTTGGGTTAGGATTTATGGCCTGGAGCAACCTGCAGTACTTTATAATTTCCAGATAACTCTGTTCAATTGTAGCAGAAAAACTTACAGTAATGACTATCTCCTTTGCTCATTTCAATTGTTTTCCGGCATTAGGATCCACAAGGGGAATAAAACACACAAAAGAAAACAAATTCTGGTCTCAGCTTTGCCAAAATAAACATATTCGCTCTCCCTCACACAGTTTTTCTCAGGATTTATCAGGCACCCCTCTTGTGTGACCTCTTCACTTTCTCATGATAGGCAGATACTACAGGAGCTGCTGCCCTTATTACATTCCAAATTATCTAATGTGGGCTCCAGTTAATTCCCTCTTCCCTGTTTTGTTTCCGTACTGGTGTTAAAATTGCAAGCAGTAGAGTTTGAGTCTCAGTTTTGAAAATAAAATATCTTCCTTCTTAACCCAGAAATCTATTGGGGAAAGAATTATTTTATACTTCTGGGATAGATGTATATGTGTTTTTCATTACAGTTGTGATGAATTAATAAATTTTTGTAATATTACAATTCATTGCAATCTATTGCAGTAACAAGTGAGTTAGATGAAGTAAAAATGGGAAATTCATTCAAATATATAAATAGAGGAGATAATAGTCAGTAAGCTAAGGGTCTGCAACATAAAGGATCATCTCACATCTGGGGCTAGTTAAGAGAACATCTTTGTAGAAAATACTGCATTCACATCCATGCAGATAATGAGGAAGAATCCAAAATGTGCTTCCTTCCCACCAGCTTGGAATTATTTACTAGCCCAAGGGCAATAGGAGTGAGGAAATATGCACTATTTGACCTGGAAGGTGTTGAAAGAGCTGCAGTGTGGTCAGCCTAGAAAAATAAGTTCTGTGACTTGTGTTTCCCCTTATTTGCTCTTTCAGAGGTCAACGTTCCCTACTATGGGTAGAAAAGTGACTTCATTTGCATCCCTTTTGCCATGTTCCTCACCCTTGTTTACATAAAGCATTCTCATGCTGTAATAGCTGGACAGACTTGGCACCAGATATGTAGATTAAGGATGGTTCCTTATGGAAGGGTAGGCATGGAGCCAGAAGGAGCAGGCACTGATGCCACAGTGGAGGGTGCGGGTGTACAGTGCTCTTGGCTGTGACAACCAGGTGAGGAAAGGGCAGTGGCTGACAGCTGTGCCTCCAGAGGAACATCCTCTGCTCATGTGTGATTAAAAAGGGGAAATAGAAAACACAATTAAAGTAAATAGTGTGGATTTACTTAAGTTCACAAGTGAGATGTTAGGTAAGGTACAAACATATTTTACTGATTTATCTCAATACACACGTACTAACAGCCACTCATATCACAGCCCTTTTTAGAAGATCAGTTGCAGACCTAAGAAAAACACCAGACAAAAGCAAGTGGTCCCCAACACAAAAGAGAGGGTGAGCGTGGAAACAGCAAAATCTCACACATCTGCAAGAATGACAGAAGAGCACACTACTGCGTTCCTCCTAAAAGACAGACTGAGCTGAATGACTTTGCTGACTCTTTGAGATATAAATAGATTAATATGCTTAACTTGTAGGCACTTGTAACAAACTCTATGCTCTGATGGTTTATTTCAGACCATGCAAGTCATCTTCCATGCTGGATATGCCCATAGACCTTGCAGGCTGTTGGTGCTCCAATTAAAAGCAGACCTAAATTCAGAGACAAATGTATGCTAAAATCACCTTTTCAGCACCAAACCCTAGACTGCTATAGAGATCAAAAGAATTAGCCCTATCAGAAAAGAATAGCCTATGAGAACAGGTGTTAAGAGCACAGGATTTGTTGGCCCCACCACTCTCTGACCTGTACTGCTATCTACCCCAGGTGCCAGAGTTTAAAAAAGACTTCCCTATCCCAGCCCAAGTAGGGCCTAGCATTCTCCAAACATGCCCATAATATGGTAAGTCATTACTGGTGTCACTGGGGACGTCACCCCTAAAATGACTGCTGTGAGGATTAGTGATGAAGGAAACAAATCAACCCACGCTTGTCAAGGAACACCAAAGGCCTTGTTCATGACTAGACAAGAAGCACTTAGCTTGCTTTATGCCAGCACTGATCTAAGCCTCCTACGGAATTATTAAGGTACCATGTCCCAATAAAGAAGAGTGAAGACTTCAGAGAAGGCATTCATAAGGGATTCTGGAGAAAGAATTGAGTGTTTCTTAACCACTTGATTCCACTGTAGTATCATATATAGCTGTTAAATTTGTTTAAAACTTTGCAATTGTTACTCAAGTTACAGTGTTAATTACTAATGCAGACTGAAGCTCCAGAGATGGGATAAGTAGTTGACAGAAGCATGGGAACTAGAGGGCACAGGACCCGATTATTTTTATGGCCTCAAAGAGTTAATGGTCCTCTTGTTTGTATGAGCATTGGAGTGCACCAGCCCTGGTGGGTGTGGATGTTTCCCATTCCTGGATGTACTGTTTTCAGTTTGAAATACCTGTTGTCAATTCAGGAATAATGTAGTTTGCAAAATAGTAAATTAATATAGTGTTTAACATCATTTCCCAAATGTCTACTTCCCTCTGCAGCCTATAAAATTTCAGTGTCTATTCATCTAACACCTGTAAAGTACACATCCTTATAAAGAAGTTATTTAATAATGCTGATTGTATGGCAAGAAGGAAAGCTTTCATTAAAACTGCAATTCACAGCCCTTGTACTTTTGGAAACTATTTTCTTTTTTGAGAAGTGTGACGAAAAGAACAGCTGGAGGGCTTTTAAAAATCAACTGAAATACAAATACATCAATGTATACCTGGATTAGATTTATAAATTTAATTAAAAATGGAAGAGTCTGCAAAATTCCACTAACCAATCTGTGGCAGGCAATACCTAACCTGTCCTTTCTTGGCTACCATCAACACACGTTGTCTCGCTGACTTTTTACTTATGTGTTTGCAAGTGGGAATGTGTCTGGCTGGCCCACAGGGCTCTTGTCTTACTGAGCTGTAGGAAAATTCCTGTCACACTTGGGAGTGGGCCTATTTAAATGTTAATGGTTGGTGATTTCACCTAATTAGTAAAGGAAATGTTAAGAAACTATGTGGGATCGTTAAGGTCTGCTCACCTGACATTGCTGGAGGGTTGGAAGTGAAACTGCTCTCCTGGACTGTGTCTGCTCTAGGAAAATAGCTGCCCTTCTAAAACCGGTATTATTAAAAAAAAAAAAAAAAAAAAAGCCCAGATCTTGATCAGTCTTGATCTGTTAGATCCTACCATATAGATATCTGTGGGACTGTAGGAGAGCTGGTAACCTTGTGCCGATGGAGTTTGGATTTCAAGGGTTAAATCTCTTGCCGGAATGAGGCTTGGGCCGCCCCTTCCATGAAGAAGCGGGTTTGTTACAGCAATGCTCCAGCTCTGCCTCCATTTAGGGATCACCCACTGCCACAGGCACTCTACCCAGGGAACTCATTTTTTCTGAGGAAAAATACCCAAAAGCAGAAGAGCTCATAAAGTTTATCTGGACTGGTGGTTGTGTCTTGCTGAAGAAGGAAATAAAGTGACAGCTTTTCTGAAGTATTTCCAAGCTCTTCTGTTTGCAAATGGATTTGAATTATACTGGAGACATGGCAGTCACTACAGCTATATCCAAACTGTGCATGAACTGGTCAAGCCAGTGGATGAAAGTCAGTATATCACCTGACCTCTTTCCATGTATCCATACTGCTATACGTAGGACGAACGTGACTTCTGTAAAACGTATCTTCTCCATGTCTGAGACATTAAGGTGTTCCTCAGATCTTCAACATAGGCAAGAAGATAAATAGCTAGGCAACTAGGCCACAGACAGCATGTATGTAGTTTCTTCTTGTAAAATACACTTCAAGGCCTTATTTTGTTAAGTCCTGATCCTTAGGTACTTGTAAAGGACTGATAGTTTTCCATGCAAAGGCAGAAAAATCCAGTTGTCTTGCTATTCTTTATCAACCTCTGGCTGCCCTATATATAAGCCTTACCACAGTTTGCCCATCACTCTGACGTTTTCTAGGGATATAACTCTCCCTGGTTATTCTCTTCCAGTTGCTTGGGTGGCTGCTCTTCCTCCTCAAGCACCTTCCCTAGCACACACAGCAGATGCTGTACCATGTGATCCAATGCAAAAGGACAGACAGAGATGAGAAGGGAAGTGCCAAAAGCAATAGCGATGTAAAAAGATTACATTCTAAAATTAACAAAAATTTCTCAGCAGAAGACTGGTCATTGCTCTCAGTAAGTGAATCATTTACACTGGAATGCTTCCATCTGCCTCTGTGCTGTGTTTGCCATCTAGGCTGCAGACAGCTCTTATCTACCTGAGATCCTAGCAGTCGTCTTCTCATTTTAGCATTTATTGCCTACCTGGCTCATCAGCAGTCATGTCCAGAAACTATTTTCTGAAGCATGTCTTTCCATCTGGAACTAATAATTAGCTGTGCCCTTAGGGAAGCTCACACATCCGCTGGAGTTATCCCCAGCCTGTCCACCGACATCAGTATCACATGCTCCAAAGCAAACTCGCTAAGCCTTCCTGTAATTCTCCCGAAGAAGCCAATCTTTATTTTACTGAATTCTTTCACAAAAAAAAAAAAAAAAAAGATATTTTAAAGTCATGTTAGCTCAACAAATAGATTTTGTGAACTTGTTTGAATTGACCACTACAGATTTTCTTACTCTGATGTTTCCACAGGAGTAACAGCCTCATTTCTTTCCCATCATTATGAACATCACCTGCGACTACTGTCTCTCTGGTCTTGTCCAAAATCTAAATCACCTTGCAGTTAATCAACACCAGAAGAGTTCCTTTTGTTATGGTCCTTGAGGTTTGAAAGAATGACCTGAATATGGCTATTTTTATGAAAATAATTGTTCAAGTTCACCACTGGTTGCAAAAGGATAGCCTCAGTATTTGAACCACCACAGGCGTCATTCCCAGAGAATGCACATGATATTCTATCAAGAGAGAAACAAGGGGGAAAGTCCCATGCCATGGGACACTTACCACTCAACTGCAGACATTTAGGGCTGAAGCAATCAATCAGAATTGCCTTTAAAGCACTCTAGGATATGACTCATCTGTTTCCAAATGTCTGTCTGAGCATATAGTGAACTACACCAGGGAAGTGCCTGTTTCTTACCATAAATCTAAATAAGGAGTCTCAGTTTTTGTTCAGATTATACATTTACATTAGGTGAAGGGAATTCCTCTCTGAATGTTTGATCTTTCCTAAAGAGAATGCTAGGTTAGCTTATCAGTCCTGCAAATAATTTTTGGAGGTCCTGACCCGAAAGGCACTGGGGAGCACACTCTTGCAGACAAGGAGTGCTTCAAGGCAGAGGAAGGGCCTCTGCAGCACAGGAGAGTGAA